TTCCCAAGCTGTTGATAAAGGATAAATTTGACATTGTTTTTTATGCATTGGGTTGGTTGGTTGTTGTTGTTGTTGTTGTTGTGGATCTTAACGCCATTTTTCAGCACACATGGCGGCCAGTATTAATGATGCAGGAAGAAACCGGGAAATCCGTGGAATGAAACTCCGACCCACGAGTAGTTAAGGTCAAGTTTTCTCACATATCCACAATTGGCGAATCTTAGACTCGAACTCACGCAGACAGAGGTGAGATGGCAGTGATCGGTGACGGAGAGCTATTTAGACCACTCGGCCACTCGGGGCCCCCAACATTGAGTTGGTTTTTCGGATGTAAACTTGTATGCATGTTGGTATGAGCCCGTATTCTAAAGACTATGCGATAAATGTTGCAGGCTGTACAATGTAAGTATCCTTTTAAGCCAGTCTTTACAGTGATCTAGTTTAGTAAGTATACTTTTATATACTTTTAACCAAGTCTTTACAGTAATATAGTATATATGCTTTTAAATCTTTTTAAGTTATTATTTAGATCAATCTCATTTAGTACGTATGCTTTTATTGCCTAGACGTCAGTCTTTACAATAATTTAGTTTAGTATGTATGCTTTTATATCCTTTTAAGCCAGTCTTTACGGTAATTTTTTTTAGTAAGAATGCTTTTAAAGCTTTTTAAGCCAGTCTTTCCAGTAATCTAGTTTAGTAAGTATGTTTTTATATTCTCTAAAGTCCGTCTTTACAGTAATCTTGTTTAGTAAGCATTTTTTTAAAAATATTCTCTAAAGTCAGTCTTTACAGTAATCTTGTTAAGTAAGCATTCTTTTATATTCTCTAAAGTCGGTCTTTACAGTAATCTAGTTTAGTAAGCATTCTTTTATATTCTCTAAAGTCAGTCTTTACAGTAATCTAGTTTAGTAAGCATTCTTTTATATTCTCTAAAATCAGTCTTTACAGTAATCTAGTTTAGTAAGCATTCTTTTAAATTCTCTAAAGTCAGTCTTTACAGTAATCTTGTTTAGTAAGCATTCTTTTATATTCTCTAAAGTTAGCCTTTACAGTAATCTTGTTTAGTAAGCATGCTTTTATATCCTTTTAACTCAGTCAGTAATCTAGTTTAGTATCTAAGCTTTAATATCTTTTTACGTGTCAGTCTTTACAGTAATCTAGTTTAGTAAGTATGCTTTTATATTCTCTAAAAGTAGTCTTTACAGTAATCTTGTTTAGTAAGCATGCTTTAATATCCTTTTAAGTCAGTCTTTACAGTAATCTAGTTTAGTAAGTATGCTTTTATATTCTCTAAAGTTAGCCTTTACAGTAATCTTGTTTAGTAAGCATGCTTTTATATCCTTTTAACTCAGTAATCTAGTTTAGTATCTAAGCTTTAATATCTTTTTAAGTCAGTCTTTACAGTATTATAGTTTAGTAAGTATGCTTATGTGTTGTATATGAATGTAACTTCATAGTCTAGCCTTAAATATCATCCAACGGTGTGTCATGTAAGGCTACCTAATTTGTTTTAGCAATTATGCTATGCAAATTATCTCAGTGAGGGAAAGTTGTCCTGTTACTTATGATTTTAAGAAAAGGAGACTATAATTTTTACGTGAGTTAAGTTACTGTGGCTTGGCCAACGTGAGGCTGTAACAGAAACGGAAGAATTGAATCAAAACTTGTATATTTTGTCATCATTTTCCTTAGTTTCGGTGTGATTTATCAAACTTATCAATTTGAAAATTAAATAATAACAAGACTATATGCCTTGTTACAATGATGTTCATTTTTTAAATTAAAAAAATGAATGAACACAACTCACCTGTGTTCAGATATGCGTAATCTGCTAAATTGCCCACTTTAATTAATTTAGTAACTGGTATGTAATAAATATGTGATGAATCGTGAACAAAAGACTTTAAAAAATTAAACTTGTAACGGTTGGAATTTGTTTTGAAATCGTTATCAGGTTATGTATGATGTCAATTTCATCGTTGTTGCTGCAGTTGTTGGTTTCTTTCTTTGTTTTTAATGCTAATGCGGCTGCTGTCTTCTACTACTGTTACCACTACTTCTGTTGTTGCTGCTTTAAAATTTGCTAATAGGGCCTACTGTTACGACTCCCACTACATTTGCTGCTTCTACTGCTGCCTAAATTGGTGTTACGACCACTACCGTTGTTACTACTATGCAGTTACTACCTGTCTTGCTACTATTACTGCTACGTCTGTTGCTGTTATGACTGCTACTGTTTTCATTACAGTTCTTGCAACTACTAGCAGTGCTTCTACTACTACTACTACTACTACTACTACTACTACTACTACTACTACTACTACTACTACTACTACATATTATTATTATTATTATTATTATTATTATTATTATTATTATTGTTGTTATTGTTGTTGGTGTTATTATTATTATTATTATTATTATTATTATTATTATTATTATTATTATTATTATTATTATTATTATTATTATTATTATCACATTTTTAATTAATATAAAAATTTTACAATAATTTAACTTCTACTACATCATTTATTCTTACCAACAGATGATACCCTTCCCCTCCCCCTCCCCCTCCCCAGGAAGAAATCTCGAGAATTGATAGAATGATTTGTATCAGTTACTTCCCTTTAATCACTGCTCAGTTGATACTGCAGTATTTATTTAAATGTCGCCCACAAATTCTTGCATACCAAAATGGACTTCGGGTTTTGTTTGACTACTCGTATAGTGTTTTACCTTTCATTTTCTTGTGTGAATTTTTTTGTTAAGATTCCTCTTGCGTGATATGTTCTCTGATGTAGAATGTTTGTTGTCATTGTCCGAAAACGCATTCAAAATGAGCAATAATTTACCAGTTACAGCAGGTTTTCAAAGGAGGTGAAACCAAAACTTATGTTGATATGTTTGCATGAAACCTTTATATATTTGGCGCAGAGTTACTTTAAGTATCACAGTGGCATTTTTGTGTAGGAATATTCCATTAAATATAGTACATTTTTATTCACACAAGAAATTGCAATTATTACCGAATATAAGGTAATATTTATGTTTTTGAAATGTCTTTTTTTTACTCTTTAATTTATTTTTTATCCAGGGGATGAGAAGATTCGTTTTATTTTACATACCCATCGTATGTCCAAAGTATTTCTAAAGAAATCATAAGAATGGTCGATCAATTTAAAACTATTGTTTTCTACCAGTGTGGACACACTGTTGACTGGTATTTTGCCCGCTCATAAATGTGTATTCAACAGCTAAGAGTCCTTTGCCGATATCTGCGTTCAGTGTTGACGCTATTCGCTGGCGATCCTAAGTGCTTGTTGTTGTTGTTGTTGTTGTTGTTGTTGGGCTTAACGCCATTTTTCAGCACACGATAGGCTATTCATGGCGGCCAGTATTAATGGTGGAGGAAGAAACCGGGAAATCACCGGAAAGAACCACCGACCCACGAGAGACTACTGGCAAGCTTTCTCACATATCCACATTCGTCGAATCCTAGACTCGAATTCACGCAGAGGTGAAATGGCAGTGATCCGTAACGAACAGCGCTTTAGACCACTAAGTACAACAAACAGTTTAAATTTTATTTACCTACCTGTTAATTAATTATGTTGGATATGTCCGGGCAGGCAGGAAGCCAACTTAGGAAGCAACAATAACCACAACAAAATTTAAAAAAAACAACAAAAAACAAGACCTGCCAGTGGTTCACATCAGTAACGCGAAAATTCATTTCCTCAACCATGCAATTTCTACTAAAAGGTGACAATTTCTTCATATAAAAATGTTATTGCTTTCTGATTGGTCGTGTCACATATGAAACATCTTTTCACATGAGAAAAAAGTCTTTTTTAAAAACAGATTTTGTTTTCAGTTATTTTTTTTTTAAACCCTAGATATAACAGTGACGCCAAAATCGGGCAGCCTCGGGTTCATATCTTTACCTTTCATTTATCACCTGGTGGCTGCCAACTTCCTCCAAAAGCGTCCTTATAGGCAGGGCCGAGAAGTGAGGGGGCAACCGAGTGAATATCCCTGAGGTCCGGGTCCGTAGGAGGGCCCGGATCGAACAACACTTTTTAATTTTAGAAAAGAAAAAAAAAATGTTTGAAAAAGAACCAGGAAGGGCCCGGTTGTTTCTTACCTCAGGGTCTGTGATCGCTATCAAAGGCCCTGCGTAAGTCCCTGAAAACAAGACGGTTTAAATGATGGGAACAAGGCTGTAGCTGCAGTTGCAAATCCTGAAGGCAGTTTTGAGGTGCGTACCGGCTAAAACCTCTATTCTTATCACTAAAGTATAGCCGTATTTTTATCCTTGAGCTACATTAAATCATTTCAATAAAAAAAAATTATAATCTTTTTGGATCTACTTCCATATTGAAATCTTTGTAAAAACCTTACATATAAAAACATAATTTTCTTATACAGTCTGGTAAAAGTATCATGTTGTGTTGGTTGCTTAGACACACTGGTAAACATATGGGCCAAATAAAGCTCGCAGTCACCAGTTGTTGAATGGAAATTTACATATACCAACATAAAATATTAGATAACACGTTTTTTTTTTTGTAGCTGACAAACATGTGGAAAAAACAATCAAAATGCGAAAGCCATCATTCAAGAATGGCATCACTCGCACACAAAAAAATCAAAATGATAATGAGACGATCACATATCGGACACACCCGACACATGTGTTCCGTGTGTGTGTGTGTGTGTGTGTGTGTGTGTGTGTGTGTGTGTGTGTGTGTGTGTGTGTGTGTAAAGAACTACAAGATAAGATAACAATTTTAAATTATGTGAAGAGCAATAAAATAAAAATCTGAAATTTGACAGCTTATTGTGATGTGAATCACTGGGGCATCATGTCCCACCCAGTCACCTTACCCTGACACCAGGCCATCCAGTCCTAACATTAAAAAAAACCCTCTTAATGCTGAGCGGCAAGCGAGGCAGCTGCTGGCAGTTGCTAGTACCATTTTTATGTCTTTAGTATGACTTGGCATTGATTTGAACCTGCGACCTTACGCATCAGAAGCGGACGCTCTGATCACTAGGCCACCTAAGCGGTCCTTACCCTAGCTTGCCGTGACTTCTGATAGTAAAACCTTTTCTTGTCTCTTTTTTTTCTTTATATAAGAGTGAACTCATTGAAGAGACTTCATGATAATGTATCACCAGAGAAATTATTGGACTTCTTTTATTAGGTAATGCGGTATATAATTTCAATGTATGCTTGAAGTATTTTATATATTTATTTCATTTATTATTTTTTTTTTTTTGCTCTTCACAAAACTTAAATTTTTATCTTATCTTGTAGTTCTAGGTGTTTAACTTTAGACGGAAGGGTTTATCTTCCTTAAAGCTTTTGGAGTGGGGGTAATTCTTTTATACGTTTTTTTAATACTCTCTCTCTCTCTCTCTCTCTCTCTCTCTCTCTCTCTCTCTCTCTCTCTCTCTATATATATATATATATATATTTATATATATATATATATATATATATATATATACATATACACATATATACATATATATATATATATATATATTTATATATATATATATATATATATATATATCAATATATATATATATATATATATCTCTCTATATCTCTCTCTATCTATCTCTCTCTATATATATATATATATATATATATATATATATATATATATATATATATATATATATATATATATATATATATATATATATAATAGATAGATAGATAGAGAATCTATGTATATATATATATATATATATATATATATAACAAAACAATTCAATAACTTCAATTCAAAACTTTCCCGAACAGAATGAGACCAACTTTGACAGAAATCATCCAGATCCTTGGATTCAACATAAAAATATAAACATATTTCTTAAACTTTAAAACATTTTGATTTATCAAACTAGTATATATCAAATGTTGATCGAAAATAGAGAATGACCTTTGACCCTGGTGACTGATAACTTCAACTGATAAGACTGTAATACAAATCTTAGAAGTATGAGGTACAAGTGGTTAACATTTATAATTCCTATCTATTATCATTAGTATCGTTATAACGGTTAAGATGTAGTGGAATATACTAGAAATTATATTTTGTATAGATCGATGTATGTAAAAGGGTCATGTTTTGTTAGATTTAAGTTTTTTAATCATTCTTTTCTCAAGGGACGCTTTAATTTAGAAGTAAAAAATAGTATCAACCAGCTTAAAGTATGAAATTAAAATCCTAATAGGTAAGCCCAAATAGTATGGACGTGCTCATTAAGGTAGCACAAGACAGATTTAGGCCAAATCAGCAATCGAAGATGTACGCTGTAACATTTTGAAGACACCCGCTATCAAAAAAGATGTTCCATGACCATCATGATATACACATTTCTGAATTCGTCAGAGACTGGACAAAAATTATTAGTAAAAAAAATGGTATGACAAAGCTGTACCTTCTTCGATTATCCCGAGTAGTATAAAACCAACACCCCTTCTCACAGTGTGTGAAAAATCGTGATTTTCAACCCCATAAAGGACCGATACTAAACAAAATCGGATATATTTCCTATACTAGGTGGTGATATTCGCATCCCAGATATTACTTTTAAGTTTGTGGACAATGAACGGAACGTTTTCCCCTAAATTCATGAAGAACATAAACAGTGCTCCCCCCCCACAAAAAATACAAATTTATACATCACTGCTTGTAGAAAGTTGGCAGCCACTTATGTATATTATAGGATAAAAGGTAATCTCGAACCCGACTTGAATAAATGCGTTTATGCTCCATACTCGACCCCTTGTGCTTACCACATAAATTCCCGCGTTCTTAACACCATTGTGAATAAGAAGGGAGAAAGTGAGTAAAAAGTATGGATGTCTTTTCAGACATAACTTTATTCCATTGCCAATCATATAAAACTGTTTAGAGCTACCTTAAAGAAAATTGAAACATTGGTCAAATATTCTTTACCTTTCTACGAGAAAGTATAATTGGCTACGAATTTTGCTGTGGGCAAAACTAAAGCCTACATAGGGATCCATCTAAAGTACCAGTTAGGAGTACATTTTGTTACATTTATATATTACCATTTCTATTTCTGGGGCCCCGAGTGGCCGAGTGGTCTAAAGCGCTCTCCGTTACGGATCACTGCCATCTCACCTCTGTCGGCATGTGTTCGAGTCTAGGATTCGGCTAATGTAGATATGTGAGAAAGCTTGCCAGTAGCTTCTCGTGGGTCGGTGGTTCTTTCCGGTGATTTCCCGGTTTCTTCCTCCACCATTAATACTGGCCGTCATGAATAGCCTATCTTGTGCTGAAAAATGGCGTTAAGCCCAACAACAGCAACAACACCATTTCTATTTCTATTACGGGAAACCTTTAGATAATCTAGAAAATCTGCAACGAAACACAAAGCGAAACACGAAAAAAGAAAAGACTATCAATTTAGTCCAGAGAGAATTTATTATTTGTATAATATAAACATATTTCATAAAATGTACAGTTGTAGCGATTTATATGGATAATATACCTCACATTTTGATCCTAAATGGTGAAATGTCACGTGTTCGCAAAGTATTACCTTTGTTCCTGATAATCTCAGATTAAATTTTAGACATCCAAGTGATAAGTAGTGAAAGTTTGGAAACTAAACTCAATTCAAAATTGTTTAAAATAGTGTAAGAAACTAAACAAAAGTTTCAAAATCTCTCTCTCTCTCTCTCTCTCTCTCTCTCTCTCTCTCTCTCTCTCTCTCTCTCTCTCTCTCTCTCTCTCTCTCTCTCTCTCTCTCTGCACGCGCATTTTTCAGGGTAAGCGAATTTCGTACAACCATACAAAACGAGTCAGTACAACCAACTTTTTTAAGCTTTATTTCAGCGTCTCTTAAAATACTTTCCGTTGTCTTATTTGTGAGCCGCTGTTCATTAAAGCTATTGTTTTGTTGTTTTTTTTGTTTATATTTTTAACTTTCTTGATAGTTTTTTTTTGAACCACTGAATTGAAACGTTATTTTTATCGTAGAATATGTCTTAACACAAAATAATATATGAATCGCCCAGTTGAAAAAAGTATTTGACGTGAGGCGGTAAATTATGCAGATAGATTTACCAACACTCTCGGAGATACTACAGCACGCAAAGGGATTCTTTTTCCCACCTACAGTTAACCAAGTTTAATGCAATTATTACTGACCTTACCTGCACTTGCAAACACTTACTTTAAACTGTACACGCACCATCAACATTTACTTTTCAACTATATGTGCATATCAAACTCTCCTTCACAAATCATGAACAAAAGGGGATTAATTTACCCCCTTCGAGGGTTGTATACTTTTGTATTCTCTTCAGTTAACAAACTGTCAAAGATTAATGACCGTAAATGATCACGATTCATAACCCCATTAGGTCAAAATAGATAGATCGGCAACTCACTTGTTACCTTTACTTCAGTCTCGAAGAATTTCACCCGTTTGGCTTACCTGTATCTGCGGAAAATGTTCTCAATTTATAATTTTCTCAAGTCTTTGATGTCTCGGCTGGGAATTAAGTTAATCATGGGTTTACAAGACCTAGAGAAAAACAATGATAGAAATTGACACCAGGTGTGACTACGGGGAAGGGAAATTGTTTCATTCTTATTTTGTATCTGGGATTGAGCAGGTATAAACAGAACATTTACATCTCAGGACCCCATGTTGATGATTCGAAGGATTTTCTCTCGAGTACATTACCGTATGCTTTGTGCCCGAACAGCTAATTGTGTAAATGGAACAATATTGTACTAGGAGTTAAACTAACAATAACTAATAACCATCGAAAGTTACTATGGCAACCAATAAAAACAAAATCTTTTTTCTTTAACAAAACCAGGAAATGGTCATTAAATTTTTCAATGATATGAACTTCACATTAGGAATTACCCTGTATGTGGAATTGATTTTCTGTTTAGGAGAGATATTTGGGTCTGCACGAAGACTAAGGTATGCATTACAGTAACACTTTCTAATACGTAAGCCTTTACACCTTGAGGTTACCCTAGTCGTAATCAATCATTCTTCCAATTGACCAATAGTGTCTTATGTAAATAAATTTATGAAAAGTAAGATGAATGGCTATTTTCAAGTGGCTGAATACTTTTACCCGCACAAGATAGCCTGGTTACGCGCCATACGATCGAACCGCTATCTTGATCATATTGTTGGCCTGGTGTCGGCTATCAATATTATTAGGGAGTTAAGGGGCTGTCGGTTCAATGTTATCCTGACTTTGTTACAGTTATATACAGTTTATTTACCGGTTTGCACTCAACTATTCTCCCATTAACAGGAAATGGTTGTCGGGGAGGTCCGATAAGATAATCCCCAAAATAAGGACTAGTGATGTTTCACTCTCCGTTTGATAAATTTGAGTAAAGATGGTCACAAAATCATAGTTTCAATTAGATTGATTAAAGGTTCCTTTGTCTTAAATTGTAATTTAAAAAAAAAAAATTGCCTATACATATCTGGTTTAAGCAGCGGAAAAACCAGTGGGTACGTCAGACTCAAAGCCGATGGATATCGAGTTCAGTTCTCTAATTCGTCTGTTTTGATTTGCCCCAAAACCATGCACCTCGCTTCAGCTCAGTACTTTTTTGTTTTCTTTTTATTTTGTACTAGAAAAAAAAAGCCGACTGCAGCTCATTTACCTCGATGAAAACAAAATAATACTTTAAAATATTTTGCCACTTAGGAGACTCTTTTCTTTATAACTTTTACTGCAACCAGAGAAATGTTTTAATTTTAAGCAAAATGAGCAATCCATCTCGGCATCGAACAGTTGTAGAAAATGAATCCCAGATTCCCCTGCTTCTACTACCTCTGCTTCTACTGCTACTACTACTACTACTACTACTACTACTATTACTACTACTACTATTACTACTATACATTTTATAATAGTTAAATATTTAGTGAAATTTAGGATGGAAAACTTAAATATGCGTTTAAGTGGTAATACAAAAAAGTCCTGCAACTATTTCATCATTGTCCAGAAAAATATCAAGGACTTTGACATTTAAAAAAC